ATTTCTGCTCAGTCATGTGTCGACGTGAGCTATTGTTATATGGTGTCAGTTGGCAGACACAACACACGCACGTCATCAATGTGGTGATCGGTTGGTTAAAATGGTCAGCAACCGGAAAATGCAAATTGAGGCGAATAGATCTTAAGTGTTCAACAAACTATCCGCAAGGCGGCGTTTTTGTCGCCAATATAGTAAATTTGGCATTTAATGCATTCAATGGCGTAAATGAGGTTCGTCGACACGCATGTAATGAATCCGCACTATAAATTTGCCCCGAGGTCCTTGAACCACAGACCTATTCGTGATAAAATTGCAAGTACTGCAACGTTTCCGACAACATGGGTATGAGCCAGGTTGGCTCACGGGTTGTCAGAGTTGTAAACTGTGCTTGAAACAAGAATGTCGCGGAGGTTGGTATCACGTCTGTACGAGCATAAAGGTGCGTGTTTGAAAAGATGTTAACTGTGATTGGATCGTTTTGAAGAATTATAATTATCAATTAACAAACTTTTGATGTGCAGGATTGAAGGGTATAGGTTAAAACCAATGGACATCTGTCTGACGTCTTATTCACGCCGTCTTTTCTAGGGGTTATTAACGACGCCCGATTTAAAGGAAGTATCTTTTTAAATTTCTTAGATCAGATTGATTATAGCCACGGCGTGTAAAACATTCAATCATATTGGAAGCTTTTGTGTAAAATCAGTTTTTGAGCTGCATATCTTTTTAAACGTAACAAATTGAGATGGCGGAGGCTATTTTTAGTGTGGCGAGGGTGAGAAGAAGAATCATTAGATAAGAATTGGTGTCAGTCTGGGTTTAGAAAACACCGAGGTAATTAAGTTTAAACCAGATATAATAACAATCATGTCCAGAAAAGGAAGACTATCAGAGGATGTAGAGTATGTATAATTTAGACACGGATATGATATACATATATTATATATATATATATATATATATATATGTATATATTGAGTTTTAAATTATTTAATGTATATATTCAGCCATTAACATCAGAAACTCTAGTAAAAATACCAAAAATTATTTATTGCCATATAATTAATCACGATATATTGATCTCATGGCATTGCCAACATGAATGTCATCATTATTGTTAAAAACTCCATTATGACTTAATATGATATTAATATTATATTAATGATAATTATTAATGATATCGAGCGCGCGTGAAGGCTCTTGCGTTATTCTGCGTTTGTCCCGCGTTGCCAGGAGGACAACTATCGTACGAGGAGTCGGACTCTGATGACCAGCTAGACGTCGATGCTGTCGAGGCAGACGCCGAAGACGTCGAAAACAACGCCGAGAACGCTGAAGAGGAAGCTGCCGAGCAGGATGAGGAGGATGAGGAGGAGGAGGAGTACCTGAGCAACCTCACCGAGCGCGTGACGCGCGCGGGACGCCAGCCGAAGCGCGTGCACGTCTACCAGGCCGAGGAGGCGGTGCGCAAGCGCAGGGGGCGCCCGCGCAAGCAGCCCGACGACGAGACGCCGGTGACAGAGGCGCCCCCTGCGCGGCGACCGTCCCCAACGAGGCCGCTGCCGTCGATAGATCGGATTCTGCAGAGGAGCGACGCGAGACCGAGGTTGAACATCGCTGCTGCTGCGGCCCTCGAGGCGAAGGGTGGTGGTGGCTCGCCCAACGCGGCCGGGGCTAGCGGCTTGAGTTCTCCCGCCTCCCCGCGCGTCTTGCTAGGCGATTCGGCGGGACCGCTCTCACCCGGGCAGCTGGTGTTTGTGCGAGGTGAATCGGATGACCCTAAATCCAAGGTACAGATCTGATTAAAATAAGTATAAAAAAATACTAAATAATAATAATAATAAATAATAAAATAATAATAAAATAAATGATAATAATAATAATTAATAAAGATTATAATAAAATTGATGCACTGTAAGCGTAGTCATGTGTGTTTGTGTTGTTATGACAGAATCGTATCACATGATATACGTATTATTACTATGCTACGTCTTCACTGTGCTTCCTGATATGTTCTATGATTAATGTACATGTTCTTTATAGGCCTTGAGTGTCACTAATCACACATTCCTCTTTTATCTTATAGGTTATCCATGTGTACATGGTATCACCACCACCAGGGGGTACTCATTCGGGAGGCATGAAATCTCCTCCGCCGCTCATCAAATCTCCGCCACATCCCGGTGTGAGGGCCAGCCCTGCGTCGGCAATCCTTCAGAGCCTACGCTCGCCTCCCCGACTTGCCTCGCCGCCTCCTTCCACGATAGGAGTGCCGCCGCCGCTCAGACTTGTGCCGTCCGGATTGACCCATTCTGGAGCGTTGACCAGCGGTCTGGCGCAACCCAGGCCCGACCGCGGTCGTCGAGGTAAGGTTAATGAGCGTACCAACATGTCGTCTAGATGCTGTTTCTTTTGACCATGTCAGACTTTCATGCATGTGCGCAAGTTTTCTGTGCAAAACAGGAGCTGCAAGTCGCAAGCTTTACATGCAAAATTTCAGTTGCAAAAATTATTATGCAAAAATACTTTTTACAACTAATCGTTTTCCGACGGGGTCGACGCAAAATTTCAGCTGCAGGCTGTGAAGTTTTCTGAGCGAGAATGCCGCCGAAAATGCAGTTTTTTAATATATTTTTTTTTTACAACTGATCGTTTCAGATGTGTTCGACTTAGGTAACGCATTGCAAACTGCATTGCAAGTTTTCTGCGCGAGAATGCTGCGAAAAATGCAGTTTTTTACAACTCTTTTTCCATGACTGATAATTTCAGCTGGGGTTGACGTGGGTGACGTGACGTCTGGCAGCGACACGGACACGGCGATCGAGGCCCTGAACATGAATAACTTTGCAACGAGGGACATCATCATGCAGATGAGGGAGGACGAACGCGGCGGCGGCGGCGGCGGCGCGGTCATCAGCGAGGCTGTCATCGAGGAAGTTGTCAACGAGATGCAAGTCGAGTAGATCTGCTAGCTGAGTAGAGCTGCTAGCTGAGTAGATCTGCTAGCTGAGTAGATCTGCTAGCTGAGTTACTGTGTAGTACAGCACACTGAGAGTATTTTAAAATTTAAGAAGGGATTTTTTGTTGGGGGATGTAATTGATTACCCAGCATGCATTATGATATAAGTGGTGTAGTATTGTTCCCAGCATGCTTGGTATCAGAGCAAACTGCATGCAGTGCCCCATCGCTCACTCAGGATACCGCTGCCACAATGCTAGCACTATTTTTAAAGTGGGCGGAGCTCGGGGGGAAATCCAGCGAATGGAGATTCGTAAACAGCGTATGATTTGAAAGAGGTAAATGGGCGCACAATCCGCGTACTATTTCGTATCACTATTTTATCAAATTTCTCATGAAATAACGGTCGGATTTTTAATATCTTTGCAACTTTTATTAGTCCGCATTTTTACTATAGTTACAACGAGTAACGTGCCTGCTGTAAAACTTGTAGTAAAAAAGCGTTACAAATTGTAACCGAAATCTACTTGTGGCAGTGGTAGATTGAGCCCATGAGCGAGAGCGCCATCTGTCGTAGAGTTTGGTATCAGAGTAGCAAGCAAACTGCATGCAGCGCACCCTTCGCGTGATTTTTTTTCCTAGGATAATCAAGAACATAGGGCTCTAGTGAGCGCTGCCATTGGTTGATACAATTCACGTGCCTCAAACTCCTGTTTTATGGTGCATTGTGACCCTAACCCTAACCCTATTAAAAAAAAAATTTAAATTTAATTTTTAATTGTTGTAAAAATTAATTGTTGTTATTAAATTGTTGTGAATAAATCATGTAAATGTTTGCGTTAATTGGGAAAAAATTGTTAAATGGATAAAGATAGAAAAATTCAGAAAACAGGAAAATAATTATAAAACAGATGGGATTCGATCCAACGATCTTTCACTTGCGACGTCCGTGCTCTACGCATTCGGCTATTCAGGATTATTGGAATTATGGATTATGGATGTCCTATGAATATGACGACACTGTGACGTCATTGAGCGACGAAACAAGCTCAACCAATGGCAGCGCTCACTAGAGCCCTATGTTCTTGATTATCCTAGGGAAAAAAATCACGCGCCCCCTTCGTACAACTCAGGATACCACTGCCACAAGGCTGGTACTATTTTTCAAGAGGGTGGAGCTCCGGGGAAATCCAGCAAATGGCAATCCAACGGCCGCGAAGTCGCCGCCGATCAAAACATTAGAAATTTCTATGATTTGCATGTTTGTTGGTGGACAAATTTAGATGTTTTAAGCAAAATGTATCAAAGACAATGTTCGAGAATTAGGTATATTGGCAAGCATCCAAAAAATTCATGATAAATATTAAATAAACACGTGAATTTAATTTAGTAAACAGCGTAATGATTTGAAAGTAGTAAATAGGCGCACAATACGCGCACTATTTCGTATCACTATTTTATCAAATTTCTCATAAAATAATGGTCGGATTTTTTATATCTTTGCAACTTTTATTAGTACAAGTCTTATTACATAGGATACGAGTAACCTGGCCCTTGTGGTAAAAAGGCGTTACAAATTGTAACGGAAAATCTACTTGTGGCAGTGGTGAATTAAGCCAGAGCGAGAGCGCCATCTGTCGTGGTGTTTGAGTAGCAAGATGAGTGGATGTGCTGTCGTCTAGATATCAGAAATAAACATGTAATCAGAAGAACATGTCCTCGTTCAGGAACATAACAATGACCATTGTGAAATGTTGTTAGTTGATGACACCTTTTGGAATTGATACAGAAGAATTAAACAAGGGGGGGGGGGTACTTAGGAGAGTGTATAATTTAAGTACATGTAAGAAGCTTGGTATTTTCTAAAGTTCTTAGTCAGCACAGTGGTAAAAGGTACCAGCAGTCTGGAAATGTTACGTTATATTCTATATTACATATAATTAATTAAGTTAATAGTGTAGCAAGTAGGACTAGTGTACTTTTTACAAATGACCTGTGAAGTTGACCATGGTAATGGCACTATGCATGCGTTCACTTGCAGAGAAGGTGATACTGCCCAAGCTGAGGTAAAAGATGATGAAGAGGAAGATGTGTTGGTGCCCCAGGTGAAGCTTGGGCCAGATGGTAGCATTATACTTAACGAGGACAGGTGAGAATTACATGTACTCTGACGTCATCACTTCATTTCATTGTCACAGTGATAAGGCAGAAAAAACAGTATGTTCAGTGCGAACTATGTAACAGTCTAATGTTGTTGTACAAATAAAAAGTTCTATAAACAAGGCAAACATTCTGTTTATAGGCTGCATCTCTTCAATTGGCCATCAAATGTCTTCGCGTTCCTGGAGACCTGCTCGCAGTCATATGATTTCTTTGCAGCCTTGTCATCGATACTTCGCTAAAGAAGGATGCACAAGAAAAGGAGGTAGTCTATGAGGACGCACGAGATACCTACACAACGTACGGAAGCTTCTCTAAGCGTACCTGCTCCAGGGCCTGGAGTGACAAAGGTAGACGACCGGTGCAATGCAGGAGGAAGCACAACATGCCGTGTCTGCCTGCATTGTCACATCCCGCGTATGTCGTGCCACTAGCAGTCTGACAACTATGAGCACTATGTAGCAACAGCAGCTCAGGGGCTCCTGTGACCTTGATCAAGGTTATGGGCAGTGCACTCTGTCATCCCTCGGTAATGTGAGCGAGGGTGCAGATCCAGTACATATTGCAGGTAGAGCTGTGCGCTGCATGCTAGGAAAAGCATACGTGTCGTCCAAATCATCTCACCGTAAAATTTTCCTTCCTCTTGAGATAGAGCATAACAGGTCTAATGCACGATTTTACGATGTGTGTTGTGTGAATGTATGTGTATTTCTTGGGCTGATCTGTTCCAGATACCGCCAAGTTCTTTAAGGCTTTGAGCACCGTTGGAACGGATTTCTCCATGATGGGGTCCCTCTTTCCTAATAGAAAGAGAATTGAACTGAAGGTGCAAAATGTCATCATTGTATTCTTTTATTACGATGTACTGACCTACCATAATAATGAAAATTGATTGATAAGTTACAGTAACTAAGAAGCTAATGAAATTTAAAAGCTGAGATCAATGATGAAAGTCAATAATTAATGAGCTCTATCTGCTACCATTATATATATTTGTTATGATTTTCTATTGTTTTTAGAATAAATTCAAACGTGAAGAACGTGTGAACAAAACCAAGGTGGATAAAGCAATCCGTGAGTAAAAATCTCCTCAAGCTATTCCAGTCTTTATCTGGTGGCAGCATATTGCTAATACATGCGAATAGATAGTTTATATATAACGTAGTACAACTTTGGTTTTCTATTAAACTTTCTAAATGCAGTAAAATTACTCTAGACATTTGATATGGGTGAATGATACAAATATTTAAGAATCTGTAGGTATTACGTTATATTTACTGCTTTAAATAATGTATGTGTTTATATAGTAGAATGTTATATGTGGTACTTCTCATTCCTACTTGCTACTGCTGCCTGATCCTAAAAGTGAAAGCTAGAATATTTTCATCTGCAAAGGCCAAGTTTAGTTTAGTGTGGGTGTACTCATTGATGACCTCTTGTGTGGTTGATAACTCTGATACAAGCATGCTGGGATCTCTAGAAGTCCTTCACAGGACAATCATTCCTTTATGTTTGTAAATGTTATCAGCTGTGATTATGTTGTTTGCAGGAGATAAGCAGAGCTTTGACTTGTCTGTGTTTGATAAATCTGACACCGAAGATGAAGAGGTGGCAACTAAGAAGCCAATAAAAAAAGAAAAGAAGCAGCAGAGAGCACGTAAAAAGACTGAGAACAACGAGGGAGGTGCCACGAAGCCAGCGAAAAAGTCCAAGCGGAAAAATAGACGTAAGACAAACTTTGTAACCACCTAGTAGGTCCTAGAATTCACATGTGAAATGAAAACACGCATTAATATTTAATTATATAATATTAATATTAATATTTAATGGTTGCTTATATATTGCCATGGGTGAATAATGACAAATTTTGTCATAATAAATAATAACAAACAATATTGACAACAAATAATGATAAATATTTGTCATTATTTACCCCTGATATTGCACATTATGTCTTGTTTATAACATTGTAAAAATACATTCAGACGTATACCAACGTCGTTGCCGGGCAACGTATACAAACATGATCTAAATACGAGATTGGCGAGAAATGGAATACTTGAAGACTATTTGCTTGTAACGGTTATTCACGTTAGTGTGAGAAGGTTATGGCATATAGGTTGACATGACCTAGTGTGGGAATAATATCTACAAAGCAGGCGTACAACTATACACCAGGTGTTACCTAGTGTGAGAAGTGTCTCCTTCGCTGACAGCTTTACCTCTGCTGCCACATCTGTCTGGCAGACGTAGGTTAGCTGGCTTATACATTCTGTGGCCTGCAACAGCAATGACACCCACAGTTAGTTTCATATTCCACAGTGGCTTAGGTTATAGTTCATGTGGTGCAACTTCTCACTTGTATGCATCTGTGTGAACCTAAAAAGGTCACAAAGAGACCAGACCAGTTGGTGTTCGAATGACATATATTCATCAAAACTATGGATTATGAGACCAGGAGAGACCTACTGTACAAGCTGTGGGACAACAAGTCTCACGATAAGAGAAATACTTGGGCATGCATTACTGAAACCTAGACTCGTTTCACTAAAACGCACTAGTTTGGGGAAAGTTTTTTCCTTCATTTTCCCCGATGTTGTTTAATTTATTAAAGTGATAGCGCACATAATCTGTCAGCTTGCTATTTGGTGTTCAAATCCCGTGCACTCATTACCACCTACTTGCAATGCGATGAAGATATTTAACATACATTATTGAAAAAATGCATGCTTCACCGCTACATTTATGCTTGCATGTATCTACATATATATGTATGTATGCTTGCATGTATTTACATATATGTATGTATGTATGTATGCTTGCATGTATGCTACATTTATTTTTGCTACATATATGGTTTACCGCGTATGCTTTACCGCTAGTTTGCAGTGGTCATCTTTTCGACCGGTTCGGGCACAGTGACTGAAATACGCACCTTTAGCAGTGCGAGCGCCACGCAGGCACCCTGCCGTACGTCTGGCTTCGTCGACTCCAGTGCCTCGACATAGGTGACAAGCATCTTGTCATGGGCCACCCCGTCTGCGCTCACCGTCTTTAGGTAGGAGGCTGCAACGAGTTGAGTAGATCTGCTAGCCGAGTAGATCTGCTAGCCGAGTAGATCTGCTAGCTGAGTAGAGATGCAAACTGCAACTACAATTTACAAGTTGCTTGTAACTCGCTACGATCAACACTGTTATGTCTCACGCCTGCGACAGACTGCACTACATACAGCAACCAGATTCGGTTGCCACATAGGACCAGGGGTTAATAATGACAGGTATTTTAAATCACAAATTTCTCAATATTAACCCCTGATCGGACTGGTGCAGGGTGTGATCCGTGCAGGGGCAGGTGATGCAGGGCGCGCAGGCTGTGTATGACACTGATGCTTGCGCAGCACACGATGAACGGATGCACATGTTCCTGTTAAGATACGATATTGGTCTTGTTAGACAACGAGAAAGTTCGTGTGTGCGTACGAATGCTGTGCAGTTATGGGTGGCCTTCCAGGTGGCGCCACCATTCGCATGAGTGACAGATAGCTGTTATGAAGTAGAAATATGTGCCCGTAGTACTCGAGCAAATTAAAAGCAACTGCAGTGGAAAACATTCATGTGATGGTAATGCGTGACTCTCTGATACTCACGTAATTAGGTTATTGTGGATGTATCATGTATCAAGTTTGCGTTAGGGAAAATTGCAGACAAGATATCCTTATTTTCAGTATGCACTAGTGTCACAATAAATCTTGCTGCTTGGGTTACTAACTATGTAATAACCCTCTTGCTCAGGCATATTATTCCGTTCTTGCAAATGTAAGTTTTATATATAATGGTTCTAATGTATGATGATGCATTGACACATGCATGCATGTAAAATACATAATACAATGCGTGCATGTAAAACTTTTTATTAGAATGCTCTGAAAATATGTTGGCATGGTGAAGCTTTGAGAGATGATAGAAATGTTGATACTGTACTTGAAAATGCTAATATAGTATTTTTATTTATTAGTTATTTATGATTTATAGTAGGTAGATGATAATTTGATAAAAATGTCTACAACATTCACTATAAAATTTCATGTATCAAATTCGTATGTATATGCCAGTATGGACACAAAAGAACACATTTTCCAGCAGTATAAATAGGCAATTCTGCTTTTATTAAAATATTACAAAAGCACCTGTATATTACAGAGTAGTGACGGGGGGGGGGAGGGTTAACACATGTGCAGTGCACATCAAGCAGTTATGCTTTGGTCGTCGTGATGACTTCCTTTGCAGCGCTTCGCACCTATAACCTGCGAAGCGATCCGTATATACACAGAGGAAGTCCTTCCTGCCTTCCTTCCTTTCACACTATATGGCAAGACTGTCTAGTTGAGCCAAGCAGCCGACGGTGAATAACGACGGCGGACTCGCGCACTCAACAACGCATACCGTAAACCTTCTCTTTGAAATGTTTACACATGCAACTGAACATCAGCATTGAGGGCATGTAAAGGTAGCTACACTGGTGCATGGCACAGGATACAGAAACCCAGAGAGTAGTGCATACGAGTATGGTTGGCCATTGTACTCAGAAATAATTATTTTTGAGTACGATACACAACCATATACGAGTGATAGTAGACATCAGCATGAGGGCTACAGCTTATAGATCTACGATTTAATATCCCGAAGGTGTGCGGCAGGGTCAGATCAGCAAGAACACTAAAGCCTGGCTATGTTATTGAGACATTAGCTACAGTGCCAGTGATGTTATTTGTTACCATGAGGACAGTTGCAAAGATGGTTATCATAAAACGTGATCGACATATAGGCCTAACTTTCATTTTTTAAAAGCAAACCCTCTAGTGAATGCGGGAGAAATAGAATCTTTTTAACAGTCATCATCTACAATAGCCAGCATCCCAACGGAAATGTCTGCCGTACTGAATAAATTGTTTCATCGACGCCGTATTAAATAATGCTCTTCATAAATAAGAAAACATTTCTTAAAACTAAAATTAGGAAGCACAGTGCAGGATACTACCGGTCACGATACCAACATTTGCCTTCATATAATACGTCTGTATACAAGCAAATTGTCGTAGGTGCAGTCTTAAATCCTTCTAAAAGAACGTGAATGGACATTAAACGTCAAACAAAAACAAAGAATGGAAAACCTCACAACTTGTACATGCATCACGGAGCAGTTGCTCCCTGAATGCCTGTTCTGTGTGCTAACACTATCTCTAAACGTAACCACTCTAATAACAGCTAAAATGAGCAAAATATACACATTGTCAGCTCGCAAAAATCGAGCCGTTAAACAGACGTAGATGTGATGTCACTTTGATAAAAAATTTGAAAGCGTCTGCTCACAATCTGCGGCTAATATATATATCTATGTATATGGCACGTTTTGGTACGACTTGCGTGCAGCCTATAGACGTCGTTCTCTATATACGGTTCTGCATGTGTAAGTAACATTGTACAACTCCGGCTAACAAAAGCTCAGCCACGTTGGCACCAGGTGGCAGCAGCAGCGCCTATGAGGCCGGCCACTAGCTCGCGCACTGGGTCTACAGGTAATAGCGGAAGTTATAGTCCCAGCCATGCAGACATACGTACAAGGCTACAGCTGCGAGCTACTGCAGCGGCCATATTGTGGTTCTACAGCAATGCCTCGCCCTGTCTCGGCTTCAGTGGTTCCCACGGCAACCACGACCGTTTTTGCATGAACGGAAGACGTCTCTCGTGGACAACAACACTACGTCTTCCCTGTGCAGTGACGCCACGAAGCATGCTTACATGTCTTCTTGGTCTCAGCTCGCTAAGTCGGTTTAGCCCAACAGCTTAAAATGCTAGCCCTGTCACGCATCAACGTCTTGTGTGCTCTGCGATGCCTGCGCCGATTTGGTTAAGACCAGCAGCTTAAAATGATATCCCTGTCATGCATTCACATCCTGTGTGCTCTGGCATAAGCGATTCCTGCGGCGATAGCTCCTGGCCACTGAACAGGTAGTCACCTTCTTCACATCTTGGTCATCATGACGCCCTGGAAGCCGTGGGTGGTCAGCTGGGTTTCTTCGTATGCTGCCCGACCTGCATCACCTGTAGCGAGACACGTCAGACCCCCCGTTTACTCACAGTAATCAGTCACCTGTAGTGAGACACGTCAGACCCACCGTTTACTCACAGTAATCAGTCACCTGTAGTGAGACACGTCAGACCCCCCCCGTTTACTCACAGTAATCCAGTGCACCTGTAGCGAGACACGTCAGACCCCTTTTACTCTACAGTAATCAGTGCACCTGTAGCGAGACACGGTCAGACCCACCGTTACTCACAGTAATCAGTCACCTGTTAGTTGAGATACTTCAGACCCCCGTTACGTCAGCGAGTAATCAGTCACCTTGTAGTGAGACACGTCAGACCCCCGTATACTCACAGTAATCAGTCACCTGTAGTGAGACACGTCAGACCCGCCCGTTACTCACAGATCAGTCACCTGTAGTGAGACACGTCAGACCCCCGTTTACTCACAGTAATCAGTCACCCTGTAGCGAGACACGTCAGACCCACCGTTTACTCACAGTAATCCAGTCACCTGTAGTGAGACACGCTCAGACCCCCGTTACTCACAGTAATCCAGTCACTGTAGCGAGACACGTCAGACCCACCGTTTACTCACAGTAATCAGTCACGCTGTACGAGGACACGTCAGACCCCCCGTTTACTCAACAGTAATCAGTCACCTGGTGCGCAACACGTCAGACCCACCTTTACTCACAAGTAATCAGTCACCTGTAGCTGAGACACATTCAGACCCCCCGTTACTCACAGTAATCAGTCACCTATAGTGAGACACGTCAGACCCACCGTTGTACTAACAGTAATCAGTCACCTGTAGTGCAGACACGCAGACCCACCGTTTACTCACACGTAATCAGTCACCTGTAGTGAGACACGTCAGACCCCCGTTTACCTCACAGTAATCAGTCACCTGTGTGAGACACGTCAGACCACCGTTTACTCACAGTAATCAGTCACCTGTGAGCCTGAGACACGTCAGACCCCCCGTTTACTCACAGTAATCAGTCACCTGTAGGAGACACAGTCAGACCACCGTTTACTCACAGTAATCAGTCCACCCCTGTAGTGAGACACGTCAGACCCCCCGTTTACTCACAGTAATCATCACTGTAGCGAGACACGTCAGACCCACCTTACTCACAGTAATCAGTCACCTGTAGTGAGACACGTCAGACCCCCCGTTTACTCACAGTAATCAGTCACCTGTAGCGAGACACGTCAGACCCACCGTTTACTCACAGTAATCAGTCACCTGTAGCGAGACACGTCAGACCCCCGTTTACTCACAGTAATCAGATCACCTATAGTGCAGACACGTCAGACCCGCCCCGTTTACTCACAGTAATCATCACCTGTAGCGAGACACGATCAGACCACCGTTTACTCACAGTAATTCAGTCACCTGTAGCTGAGGAACACGTCAGACCCACCGTTTACTCACAGTAATCAGTCACTGTAGTGAGACACGTCGAGACCCACCGCTTACTCACAGTAATCAGTCACCTGTATAGTGAGACACGTCAGACCCCCCGTTTACTCACAGTAATCAGTCAGCCTGTAGCGAGAACTCAACCCCCCTTTTACTCACAGTAATCAGTCACCTGTAGTGAGACACATTCAGACCCCCGTTTACTCACAGTAATCAGTCACCGTGTAGTGAGACACTCAGAGCCCCCGTTACTCACAGCAATCAGGTCACTGTAGCGAGGACACTCAGACCCACCGTTTACGTCACAGAAATCAGTCACTGTAGTGAGACACGTCAGACCCCCCTTTACTCACAGTAATCATCACCTGCTAGCCGAGGACACGTCAGACCCCCGTTTTACTCACATATCAGTCACGCGTAGCGAAGACACGTCAGACCCAGCGATTAACTCAGCAGCTAATCAGTCACCTGTAGTGGAGACACGTCAGACCACTCCGTTACTACACAGTAATCGTCACCTTGAAGTGCGACACGTCAGCACCCCCGATTACTCACCAGTAATCAGCACCTGTACGTGAGCACACGTCACGACCCCCCGTTGTACTCACAGCTAATCAGTCACCTGATAGTGAGCACACGTCAGACCCCCGTTTACTCACAGTAATCAGCACCTGTAGGCAGAACACAGTCAGACCCCCGTTACTCACAGTACAGTCAACTGTACGTGAGCACACGTTCAGACCCCCCGTTACTCACGGTAATCAGGTCACCCTGTATGCGAGACCCGTCAGCCCACCGTTTACTCACAGTAACTCAGTCACCTGTCTAGTGAGACACGTCAGACCCCCCGTTTCTCACAGTAATCAGTCACCGTGTAGCAAGACACGCGCAGAACCCACCTGTTACTCACAGTAATCAGTCCTGTAGTGAGACACGTTCAGACCCCCCGTTTACTCACCAGTATCAGTCACCTGGTAAGCTCGAGGACACGGCAGACCCCCCGTTACTCACAGTAGATCAGCCACTGTAGTGAGACACGGTCAGACCCACCGTTTACTCACCAGCTTAATCAGTCACTGTAGCTGAGACACGTCAGACCCCCCGTTACTCACAGTAAGCCAGCACCTGCTAGCGAGACATGTCAGACCACCGTTTACGTCAACCAGCTATCAGTCTCACCTGTAGACGAGACGCACGTTCAGACCCCCGTTTTACTCACAGCTAATCAGTCACCGTGTGAGACACGTCATACCCACCGTTTTACTCACAGTAATCAGTCACCTGTAGCGAGACACGTCAGACCCCCCGTTTACTCACAGTATTCGGTCACCGTGCTGCTGCTGCTAAAACTTTACTGGCATTTAACTCAGCATTTGCTTATATATTGCCATGGGTGAATAATGACAAATTTTGTCAATAATAAATACATAACCAAACAACATATTGACTGAACATAATAATGCATAAATAGATGTCATTAGTTACCCCTGATATTGCACAGTTATGTCTTGTATACAACATTGTAAAAATACATTCAGACGTATACCACGTATACAAACATGATCTAAATACGAGATTGGCGAGAAATGGAAATACTTGCAAGACTATTGCTTGTAACGGTTATTCACGTGTAGTGTGATGAAGGTTATGCAATAGGTGACATGACTAGTGTGGGATCAATAATACTACAAAGCAGGCGCCTACAACTACACGAGAGTCGTCTAGCCTAGTGTGCAGAAGCTGTCTCACTTCGCTGAAGCTTTAACCTCTCTGCCACAGTCTGCTCTGGCGAGACGTAGGTTTAGCTGGCTGTTACATTCTGTGGCCTGCAACGAGCAATGACACCACAGTTAGTTTTCATATTCCCAGTAGCCTTAGTTATTAGTCATGTGGTGCAACTTCTCACTTGTATGCATCCGTGTGAACCTAGAAAAGGTCACCAAAGAGACCAGAGCTAGTTGGTGCTTTGAATACATTATTCAATGCAAAAACTATGGATTACTGAGACAGGGAGACCTACTGCTACAAGCCTGATGGGAATCAACAAGTTCACTGATAAGAGAAATACTGCGGCATGCTTACGGAAAACATAGAACTCGATTCACTAAAAAAGCCCACTAGTTATTGGCGGAAAGTTTTTTCCTTCATTTTTCCGCCGATTTGTTTAATTTATTAAGTGACTTAGCGCACATAATCTGGTCATCTTGCGTATTTGATGTCAATATCCCGTGCACTCATACCACCTACTTGCAGCGATGAAGATATTTAAATACATTAATTGAAAAAATGTATGCTTCACCGCGTACATTCATGCTTGCATGTATTACATATATGTATTGTATGCTGCATGTAATGCCATACATTTATTTTGCTAACATCTTTCTCGACCAGTTCGCCGCCAACGAGTGACTGAAATACGCACTTTAGCGGTTGCCGACACGCCACGCAGCGCACCCTTGCCCGTAACGCTGGCCTTCGTCGATTCCAGTGCCATCGACATAGGTGCGACAAGCAGTCTTGTCATGGCGCCAACCCTGTCTGCGCTCACCGTCTTTAGGTAGGAGGCTGCAACGAGTGAATGATTCCAGTGATATGTTATGATAGAATATAGAAAATATATAGAAATATAGAAAATATAAATATATATAGAATATATAGAAACATATAGAATACGTTTCAAACATATATATACCTATCAAGTGTCGTCACACTCCTCCTCCTCGACCCACCACCTCCCACTCGCATCGCCCACCTGTACATGTAGCATTTTTAGAACCAGTGCCTACACGCCGCTGCGTGGTGGTTGCGGTGGAACGTGTTGGGCATACTTCAGGCAACGACAGCCTATGTCTGCAAATGCTTTAACAGTTGAAATTCGATATTTCTCATCACAACAGTCACATATTTGTTTGCAAGATAGAATTATATATATTTGATATATTGTATATATACACTTGATGCTATATATATGTGTGTAAAATATATATTTGGAATGATGTGAACATCTCATCTCGCTGGGTGTAAATCGGCACATCGCTCCCTGTCATCGCAGCTCTGGTTCGGCCGAGCAGGTTTCCTGCAAGCCATCGCTCACAGAGCCAGCAGCACATTCATAGACATGTACTGACAAGCACAGGCTCCATAGAACAGTACTGCACAAGCCAGCCGACATTCGACCAGACAGTACTGCAACAAGCCAGCGGACATGTCATAGAACAGTAGCTGCACAAGACAGCAGACATTCACTAGAACGAGTTACTGCACAAGCAGCGAGACATTCATGTAGCTAACAGTACTGCAACAAGCCAGCACACAGTTCATTAGAACAGACTGCACAGAGCAGCAGGACATTCATAGAACAGTACTGCCCACAGAGCAGCGGACATTCACAGACCCAGTACTGCACAAGCAGCAGAGCATTCATAGACAGTACCGACCACAAGCCAGCCAGACATTCATAGAACAGTACTGCACAAGCAGCAGACATTCATAGAACAGTACTGCACAAGCAGCAGACATTCATAGAACAGTACTGCACAAGCAGCGGACATTCGCAGAACAGTACTGCACAAGCAGCAGACATTCGCAGAACAGTACTGCACAAGCAGCGGACATTCGCAGAACAGTACTGCACTCACCGACTGGCTTTTTGACGTCACTCGTGCGGTACAGCAGGGTGGACAGTGCCTGCAGCACGTCTGCACTCGGCAGTCTCTTCTTGAATGTTTTCAGTATGAGAGCTTTGATCTGGTCGTTGGCGCCACTCTTCAGAACCTCAACAGCCGACACTGCAACAACATCAGTTCACTGCTGACTGGCATGCAACACATAACTGACAATGTCAGTGACATGCAACGTGACTCTCGTTCACTCACTCATATACTCTCATGCCCTCTCTGCATCATTTCACCGATGACTGACACTACATGCAACGCGGAATGAGGGCGAGTGATCACGTACATGTTAACGTACGCGTGTGGGCGTGAGGGTACCATCTATGTGCGCACATAGCGTGCATGCAAACGTTACAGGAAAACAAATTTGAACATAAGAGTATATAGTAATATTAATGAATGGGAATTAAAAAAACTTGTTACAATCTAATCTTCTCTGTACTATCACAAAAAGTCATGATGGCAAATTGAAGAACAGTGGCTTACGGTCGACAGCTGCTTCCACGATGACCTTGTCAAGGTCACTTTTGCCCCTGTCCTTGAAATGGAAGAGGAACTGGTGCAGGGTCACTATTGAATCAGGACGCTGCACTGCTGAGACTGATGTATCCACCACTTTACTGATCACATGAAGGAAGACTGAAAAGCACACACGATACGTCTCTCAAACCCTGCATATATATATTACCATATTACGTCAATATGCAGAAATTTGAAATTCGATTTTTTTACGCTCGCCACTGTTTCGGATCAAGGATAGTTTGGGACCTCCGCAATATGTTTTCGCATATGTGCTAAACTAATCTGGCGTGCTAAACTAGGTTTACGCCATCGTTTCTTTTCGTATCAACTCACCTTTGTTTGCCACTTCAGCATGATTGACTCTGATCAGTGACCCGTATGCTTTCTCCAGAGCAGAGAGAAGCTGGTGTGTTGGCAGGTGTAGCAACACAGATTGCGCGCAATGCTGCCAGAATTCGACCAAGCTTTCGCTGTATTGAACGCCGTGTAATACTGCAAATGCAACCATGAATATATGTATTTGTAATGGCGTTTAAAATGAAATCCTTCAAAAGGAATCTTCCTAACGAAATTCACGTATTCAAAATTATGATTTCAACATGAATATTATATATGGACGGTAAATATCACGATAAATCGATACTAGAAATAAAAAGATTGCGTGTCGCCATGCGCGATCCAGTATGCTGGTACTGGTGCGCGTTGGCCTACCTTCTTGCAGGTCCATTACGTTGGCACCAGATTGTGCTAGCTCCAGCAAATGTTCGATGATATCTGCCTGTATCTCCAGATTGTGCAGCGCGTGTATCTCTCGACACTTGAGTGGCCCGAAAGCACCAAGGTGCTACAGAACAGAAATGTTATACATCAGCACTCAGTATTATCAAGAGTACATAATAGGAGATTACCTATTATGTACTCTTGGTATTATATATCAGCGAAAGTGATAAAGTGATGAGCTAATAGCTTATCGCCTATATCGGTGCCTTATAGCCTATATCGGTGCGGAAAGATCAAGATAGATCAAGTGCGGAAAGATATTTCACAGTGCAGGTAAGATATATCGGTGCGGAGTGATCAAGATAGAGCAAGTGCAGATAGATATTTCCTCACCTCGAGCAGTCTCTCGCAGTACATGACGTGATAAAGCAGGGCGGTGTCGATCTGTTCGTTGCCGATGGAGGCTGGTTCGGGGGAGGAGCCGGTGCTAAAGCCCCGGTCTTCACTCAGGTGCCTCCCGATGCTCTCAATGCCGGAGTCCATCGTCTTCATCGTCGCCTGATGCTTGGTCAGGTTGCTGTGGTTCAGGGTCGACCTATGCTCGAGGCTCGAGCGACTCTCGCTAGAAAATTATTTGTTGCACATTTATAATGCATCCCATTGTTTTATCGTTTTCATTTAATTGAGTTTAAACTCATTAACAGCCACGAGTAAACGTTAATTTTTAACATTAAAATTAACATTAACATTAAAATTAAAATTAACATTAAAATTAACATTAAAATTAACATTAAAATTAAATTTAACATTAAAATTAACAGTGAACAGTAACAGTAACAGTTATTTAACATTATTAACGGTCGAAATGTACACCAAACGAAAATGAAATATTTTTCGCGCGACGGTTTGTCGTCTCCTTCCGCTACCGCTGCTTAGCTTGTGACTATGCCAGCATCGACATCTCACCTGACGCTGCTCTCCCTGCTATTGCGATCATCGGCCGCGACGTACGCGCACGCTCTGCTCTCCTCTTCCTCGTCCTCCTCCGGCAGCGTCATCTCACTGTTGAGGAAGTCGAAGCATCCGAGCGCGGACTCGACGCTGATGCTGATGCTGGAGGAGCGAGAGCTGTGTCCGCTGCCATGTGAAGCCTGCAGGTAACCAAGCAACCAGCCATGCACCACACCTTACACTGATCTTATACAGACCTTATGCCAGATATTATACAGATCTTATACAGATCTTATACTGATCTTATACAGATCTTATGCAGACCTTATGCCAGATCTTATGCAGACCTTATGCCAGATCTTATACAGACCTTATGCCAGATCTTATACAGACCTTATGCCAGATCTTATGCACACCTTATGCCAGATGTTATGCAGACCTTATGCCAGATCTTATAACGATGCGACGAGACGACCACATAATTTTAACACTAACCCCTTCCACGTGTCTACATCTTTGAGCAAGGATCACTGCTGCTTGAACATGGTGAACCATGCTGATCATGCTGCCACCACCACCAGCCTCACCTTACCTCATCTTAATGTGCTTCACCTACCTTACCTTACACTACTTTACTTAACCCCACCCCACGCCATGCTGTCCCACCGTACCTAATCCAACCCTGCCTACTCCGCCGTATCCCACTGTTCCCCACACTGCCCCCACCTCATCTTCCCTTGCCCTGCTATGCCCCCCCTCCCCGGCCCCAAGGTAGCACACTCAGCCCCGCAACCACCCTGCCCTGCCCTGCCCCTATCCTCCACCAACCCGCCC